CTCCCCGTGGACTTCTTGAGGGAACATCGAAAGACACTTTCCGTTATTTTGTTTCACTTGCCAACACTTGTGCATGTTCCCGAACACTTAGTGGTTAGTAATCCACCATTATTAGACACTAACATCCGCCACAACACAATTTTTAACAAGAAAAACAAAACTGCTAAAGTGGCGCTTCCCGTTCCCGCCAAAAAGCCCCTTCTTTAGCCTTTTGGCGAATTTTCCAAAAAAAAACCTTTTTTTATTTTATCTTTATAAAGTTTGAATGAACATGACGACACGACGTACAGCCTTGCCAGAATACCAAAAAAGTAAATGTTACGTGAGTTATATGGCGCAAGTGGTAAGCGCGTTCGGCTGCGATCGTTGAAGTTAAGCAACTTTCGCTGTGGTCGGTTATTGAATGGGTGACCAAAAATGTACTATCCCGAGATCCTCCGTGCTTCGGAAGGCACGTTAAGCCGTTGATCCCGGCTGCATCTACAGTCGTTAGCACTCACCAATCCACACTGAGTTCGCGTGGTGGGTCATGGCCCAATCTCCCTATTTCATCCATAGGGATGGCCCAGCAATGGGCACATTAATAGGCTGATGATGATGAAGTGTTACGGTGTGAAGAGAATTTCTTCTTTATCAGATTAAGCTGAGAGCAGGACCTTGATTGGCCATATTCAAGTCGAGTAACTAACTAAAATGTTTCGTATTTCCAGTAGTCTGTCGATCAAAGGTCGATCATAAAACAAAATATGTATACATAAGTATAAATTTAACATAAAACCTTTAATGAATTAACCAGTGGTTTTCCTTAGAAATCCTATCCTATGTCCAATCATATTTGTGTTCGAATGCGGTTTTAAAATCTATGGTTAACATATTGACATAAATTTTCATTGAACTATGGTTGTAAACAAATTGAATGAAATACCATCATTATTGATTCACTAAATTTGTTATGAATGATGTCACGCATCTACTACACTAATCTACTTGAATCAAACTTGGTGAATGCATTACGGCAACTGAATTTGATAACTCAAGTATGGCGATGTCGAAATGTTAAAATAAGTAAGTCAAAAGTTTCATAACTGGTATGATTTTTCTAAATAAATTTGTAAATAAAACTATATTCATAATATACGTTTTTTATATTGGGTTGGGAGCGAATAAAAACTCACAATATCGTCTTTTTTCCTGTGCAAATAATACGAGATTCAAAACTCAGTTTTTGGATTTGTATTGATAGATCGCCTCGCCATTTTCAAGTATGAAGCCTGTAGCTATAAGTGTATGAACGAGTTTCATACAACAGTATATTTTACTGTTTTATTTACCTACGATGCTCTGAAACTCCGCAAAGGACCTTAAAGAAGTTACAAAAATACTTTGAAGTGACCGTGCCGGCTTAAATAAAAACTTTTAACGACCCCATCATTGACCAGGGAGACACTTTAAGAAAAATAAAATGGGCTCCAAGTTTAAAAAAATGGAATTAGTTGTGCTCTTCGGTCGCGAGTACGTAGCTCGCGGGCGCGGCAAACGCGTCGCATTGCCGCCGCCGCGCCAACATTGACAGCTGTCAATCAGATTCAATATGGCGGCCCGGCCGGTTCCCGCCATCCGTGCGTCCGAAGAACCAACAAACACGCCACGCTATCTCGTCAAATCTGACGAGTTCAGTACCCGTGTTAGATTATATTGCCGAGATATTTTCCGCATCGAATGTTGTGACTAAAGCTTATATCGATTGAGCTCACAACACAAATACGATTACGACAAGAAATCGAATCTAATGAGTGTTTTTTTGTTTCATTGTATCGGGAGATTCCAAGCTCGTTTAACATTTGATTAAATAAAACTGAAACGGTTTATAATGAATAGAAATGTTAAACGACAACACGATCCAATAATTTAATAATTTTTCGAATGTTTTTCTTCAATTGACCTGGCAACCACATGATATGAAAAACAAAAGCTAAAAACCCTCCAAACTGTGGTAAATGCGCTTGATAACAAGTAAAAAGTCTTGTTTTTAAAATATATGGTTTTGTTTTGTCTAGCTACAACAATAATCTACAAAATTAAAAAGAAAATGTGAACCCAAAAGTAACATCTACAAAAAATATGTAGTGTTCAAAGCTTCTCAGAAAGAGCTTTCCTAAAATTAATATTCTCGGGAATAAAAGTTGGCACCCTCCACTGGCTGGACAAAAGCTTTTTTCCATTTCGCAGCCAGGAATGACGACAATCTTTTTTGAAGTGAAACTTCTTTTCGGACGGGTTGTAAATGGAAAAAAGGGTTGTAAAAGATGTAACGGCAATGCGTCACGAGCGTCACCAAATATATGAGTGATGCGTTCGCTGCTCCATTCCCCCATGCCTTATGCACCGCAATGTTAGGTTATTTTAGAAAATAAGTGTTACTATGCATTTGAACTGACTGGAATTAGGTTTAAAAAACAAATTTGGAATAAGTTTAAATCTACCTCCGTGGCCGAGTGGTTTATACGCCGGGTTTCATGGTGTCGCCGACTCGAGAGGTCCCGGGTTCGAATCCCGGTGGGGGCAGATGTTACACAGTCGTGGATGTTTAATATGTATTTCTATATAAATATACTTATATATGTATTCTATCCGTTACCCTAGTATCCCATAACACAAGCCTTACAGTGCTTACTTTGGGGCAAGGCTAATTGGTGTGTGTATAAAAAAAAATGGATGCGTGTAACTTATGTACGCGCGTGAGAAGTTATACTTCTTTAGCATCATTAAAAATATTTTTTAATTGCATGCAAATAATTAATAATTACAATAAAATAATAAAAGGACTGGAAAAGGATAGTTAACACAGTCAATTAAGTTCAGTTTTAATTTGAAAAATTAAATAAATATTCAAAATATTCAATTAAAATCACTACTGAATTTAAGTTATTAGTCCATATGTAATTAGCACTTGTAAGTAACTAAAACACGTTGTGTCTATATAGAAACTAGAAACATGTGGATAAATATTATAAATATGAAAACAGTGATCAGAGGCGGCGAGCGTGCCAACATTGTTTTTGACAACGCGATCATCTTATGGAGCTCCGTGGATCGTTCAAAGTACCTTTCGAACAGATGTCTAATAATGGTGGATTATTAACCACTTAGTGGTTAATAATACTACTAACATTCATAACGCGCCCGCGGCCAACTTCATGGTGTTACTATTGTGTTACAGTGATGCGCGCGCATCTTAAAATTTCACTCTCATAATTTTTTCATAACGCGGCTAAAGAAGTATAACTTCAAAACAAAAGAAAAACTTTGATTAAAAGCAAATTCAGAAACAGTTTTGTAACACTGACTATGGACCACATGTTATATGGAAAACTACATTAAGGGGTAGTTTAGGAATGCGTGTAATTTTTAGACAAATTATTTGTCTCATATTTCAAACCTAAAGCCTTATAAGCCTTTTGCTTTGGTACTAAATGCTCTGAAAATTAGCGTCCAAAACTTGAATTACTTTTCTCGTACTGTGTGCAGCTGAAGGAGCGAACTTACGATGGAACTAATAAAATCAAAAGCTTACCGTATCAAAGCTTCATCGCGCAGGTATGGGGTAGAGGCAGTACTACACATTTGAAGATCTGTCAAGCCGGCCAGGAACATAATATAATCTGAATGCATGTAGACAATGACTTCTATAATTTATGCAATAGAACGCGCGAAGATTTACACTCGAAGTTGTAATTTGTTTCGTTTTGTGGAGTTTGTACGCTTGTCAGAATTTAAAGGATTAAGCGTGACGCCATCTTCGTATTTTTACAAGTCATATTACCTTCATACCTACATCGATATTTATTGTCATATAAATATAATATGTTAATTAATCTTTTTAAAGATGGTAATTATCTCATCAAACTTAAGTAGAAACACGTAAAGAATTGGATTTATATGCATTTGTATTTATTTATATGTAGTATATTCAATTTCTTGTTCTATAGATACTAAAATTATGTTTTTTTCTTTCAAAAAATTCTTTTTGTTAGATGGAGAAAACATGTTTTAGGTATATGCTGAACAAAATTTTTTAACACACACAGAATAATAAATGCAATTTCCCCATAGATTTTTAGTTTTTGTACCAAATTGAAAAGCTCCCGTGTGCCTTTTTCTTTTTTGAAGTAACTGAAAATTTCAAATGTAGAACAATAGGTTTTTTCTCTTCGCGTTCCTTAGTGATATAAGTAGGTATGTCTATGCGTACATATTATATGTATGATGTATTGTAACTAACTGTAGACAAATTTTACTTGTTCGTGACACACGTGAGGGTCTTGCTTGCTCACTCATCTCCGCTCCGGTAGGTGAGCATGCACACATTAATGTCTTCGCCTTTGTCACAGGGAAAGTCAAAATGTTCTTTTACTTTTGTTTTCGACTGTTTGAGGTATATTTTTTTTGCTTTGCTTTACGTGCAAGTCACATAATGATGTAGGTACTTACCAAGTTTAGAAAATGGAAAACTTTTTTTTAAGAATTTTGCGTTTCGTTAGCGGCGAATCGTGGACCTAGGATTTCGCAACGGTTTATTTTTTTCGTATATCTCAGAATAATGTCAAGATTAAAAGATAATATTTATTTCCTTAGTTCGTTCATTACATCGTAACTTAATCGCCTCGCCTCGGAACACGAGCTTTTCCGGGGGAGGCGATTACGATACCAATTGGTGTGCGTTGCAGTAGGGAATTTCACACAAAGAATACTGAACGGTGTAACGATCCTTTTCCGAGTTGATATATCTTCTACGACCGTATGAATTATTCGGTACCATTATCGGCATTACCCTTCCATCACCTCCAAACTATTCAATTAATAAAATAATTTAACAACAGTGTATCGTTGCCTTGATCTATACAGTATGATAAAGAGAGAATGTTGTCTTAGTATTGAACTAAAGATAATCATTACCAGAATCAAACCCATTATTAAATTCAACGTATTTTTTTTCACAGTTTTACGTCGCATGGACGCCGCGGCTAGTGTTGTGCAGTGCACGATGCGGTACTACGCGACCGCTACCCCAAACCAACGGATTCTCAAGTTAGTGACGTGCGCGTGACACCATAGATTATAAACATACAGCCAGAGTCGATCGATTCATCGATTGTGTTCTATAGACAATCACGAATGAACAGCCTCATGCTGACGACTAACGGAGTTGTGGATGACCCTACTTGTGTTGATAACAACATGTCTTTCTCGTCGTACAAGTGAGTATTATAAACTTTAACAATTTTTGACACTAAGGTCCTCTCGCACTGAAGTTCAAATTAAGACGTAATCACTTTTAAGCCTCATATTTGACTTAAAGCGATTGACAAAGATGGAATGATGTACTAAACATAATTAAGCTTTAATTTGAATTAAGGATTTAGCTACAAGTGGACCTCAATGGTCTACTCCGGAAAACGACTTGAATATAAACGTTAGACGACTAAGACAAGCAATTTTACATACAAAAATGTCTCAAGCACAAGTTTGTTTGTCTCATTTGTTTTACTCAAAATGTTTGTCGCTCAGCATGTAATAAAAACTAACTCGCGCTAGTCAAGAAACTCGATAAATGACAATGGGCAAAAGACACCCAGCTCCGCCAACAATGTAATTAGTATGAATCGATAGATCTATGAAAAACTAGCCTTTTTTATTATGACACCGTAAAAAAATATCCTGGGAGTTAAAAGATATGACACCGTAAAAATATCTTGGTAGTCAAAACATATGACACATGGGCATATATATGTAGCTAAATAAATTAATTTTTAGTACCTTCATTTTATATTATTAGTAACCATAATAATATGCCATATCATACTAAACAACCAGATATACGACAAAACCTGCCGACCATCCTGCGCTTACTGAGCCACCTAAAACTGTTTACGGGGGTTGAAGGACTTGCAGTTGCAAATAATCGACTCATCTTATTTCGTTGTGATTGTGCGCTCCCTGTCACTTGATTGATTTTTATCTAACACGCTTTGGACATTGGAACACGATTATTAGTTTTGTCAATTAGTATAGATGAACTGGAAATATGTTTTATCCGAAGAGTGGACAAGTTTGCGTGATTTGTTGTCGCTCCGTTTTACATAGAAGACAATTTACTATAACGAACAGAATGTTTAAAAAACTCCAAACCATGCGGGGATTTTTGGATTTACTCTAGCGAAGCAGAATACCCTAAGGGGGCACCCTTGCACCTTGTGAAGTAGTCCTATAATACCTGAGCCCCCTATGTAGGGTCTAACTAACTTAATTAATTCCCTTGTTTCATTAATGTTCGTTCGTTACAGTACTTGTACCTATTTAACTTAATATAACTAAAGACCCCCGGGATGGAATTTGATGCGCTTTGGCACAGATGATCATGCCTATAATACCTTTCAAACAAATGTAGTTTAAGCCGTGGCGGACGAGGGTGCAGCGCCCATACATTTTTGCCCAATGTCCTTTTATTTGGTGCGAGGTACATGCTTTTCTTTTTTTGAAATATTAAGTGTATATTTGGTGTAGAATATTATGTATCTTTGTCATCATCTCATCCTCAATTTATCTTTATTTACCTCAGTGGCTGCTCTTAATCTTGGTTCAGTACCTATTTAAGAACCATTTAGCGTGCCTGCTATAGTCGTATTATCTTCAGATACAGTATTAAAATCAATATTAGCTATATACGTCGGAACTCTTATTCGAAAATTCCTTTAATTTACTCGTCCATCTTTCCTTTAAAGATGAATGTAATATCAATTATTTAAAGTTGTTCAATCCATATTATTTTAAAATTCAGAATGTCAGAATGTGGAAACATTCACTCTTAAATCTGACACCAATTGGTGAATTCTTATTTAAATTGGTGAGTGCGTTATGTGCTATTAACGTCATTTTCATTTATTTTGACCCTTGAAAATATCAATTTTTATTTAAAATTATCAGAAGTTTCTATGAATAAAAACAAAATAAATCGAAAGTTTTGTCAATTAACTTTTTGTGATTATGGCGGCATACTTTAAATATTACAACTTTATTTTGTAATTTTTCATCGAAGCTGTAATTTTTCAATAATGGAACGCTCTTGATTCTTAAAAAGGTTACCTAATTAACTGGAATGATTTGAAGTTTCAACAGGGCGACGTTGTGACAGTTGTGATATGCCCGCACATAAGTACTTGCACAATACTAAGCGCCATGAAAAATTAAATTAAATTATCTGCCACTGTCAGTTTGCGAGAGTAAAAACTGGTCATATCCATAACTTATGGGCGTCCATCGGACAAGATGAAGCCATTTGGCCAAAACAGCCATCGGCGCGTTTCGGTGATCGCATACAAATTCGGACGGTACTCGGAAATCCAGTGCGTCGTCGAATCATTAACAGCATTGTTGGAATTAATTAAATGTGTCTTCATTTTTTTTTCATCATAAACTTTCTAGACTTAACTGTGTTCGGGTTCGAATTTCGAATAAATTTGCAATTACATAATATACCATCGAGTCTCAACATACCGTGCGTTTTTTTTTATTTGCGTCTTAAAGATTTTGTGCTTTGTAAAGTTTACAGGTTTTACCAAGCAAAGATGTTTTGAAAAGGTATCATAGAGCCAGGGTATACCTATAAATGTCGCTTTTATTGTTACGTATATTGTTTAAGCTGATTAGAACGTCCGGCTGGGGAAGTAGCCTTCACAGTATAATAACACTACCTTCTGACTTCTGGGGATATTATATTTCTGTTGGTGGATACAGTTCCAGGACTCCACGGGTTAGAGGATTGGATTCACGTCGCCAAAGCGAGAATGGCTAGAGTGGCTGGATTGTTATTCGCATCAGGAGTGTGATGACGCAGGTGGATAGCGCAATCGGCCTGCATTCTTGGAAGTTCATCAACTTTCAACTTCAACTTCGTGACAAAAAACTTTTTAACTCGGGCTCCTCCGTGCTTCGGAAGAAGCCGTTGATCCTGTGTATGCAGTCGTTAGCACCCATCAATCTGCTTTGGGTGGTGGGTGATGACCCAATCTCTCTATTCCATCCATAGGAAAGGCCTGTGCCGCAGCAGTAGGGACATTAATAGGCTGGTGGGTGATGAAGATGGTGATGATAATGGAGGGGTGGGGTAATTTGCTGCATATAAAGAAAAACGTAATAAAAGTAAAGCACAAATCTTTGTGATCTTGTATTCAACGACATGACATCGTATACAAGTATAATATATAACATTGTATATTTTTAGAACCATTTTTTGTGGTTAACTTTTAATTTTAATGTTCACCCGTTTGCAGTCCTATACTACCTTAACTTGGTAATTAATCATCTTTATTCAATAATATTAGAAGTGTATAGCAGTGTCTTGGTGGCAACTATTAATACGTCAGTGTGCAGTTGTGTGGCGCGAAGTTCAAGATTAACGCTTATTTGCGGTTAGCCAATAAAACTTTGAGGCTGCACACAACCAATCCTGGCTGCATAAAATTTGAATACAAATGAAAATAAAATAGACAACAGTTCTAACTGCACGAAAATATAAATACCAATACACTTGGCTGCATTAACATAGATCCTTTGACATCCAAAAAAAAAGTAATGAATGAAAAACCAATTTGTATACTTATTTCTTATGTTTTCACGCGCACCACTTTTTGACTAGTTACGTAAAAAAGTATGAAAAGTGCATTTAAAACTCGTTAAAAAGTAGTTTTGTTCAACGAATTTGTATTTTAGATGAACAAAAAATGTTTCTATAAAAGTAAATACAGTAATTAGCGTACGCAAAAAGCCGTCGGCCAATGAATTCGTCAGGCGGTTACAGCCCTCAATCGGGCACCTTTCATTTAAAAAAGAACCATACGCCATTTCATGTCAATTTTTGAATTATTCATCGTACGAATGCGCGACCGCATCGATTGATGCAAACAAAAAGCGCTCAGTTCGCTAATCTTCGCCTCTGCTCGTCTCATTTCGGTCTCCCTCGGCTACCAGTGTTGCCAGCCTGCGCATTTATTATTCAACTAGTTTTTGCTGTCACGCTGCGCAAAGACATAACGAGAATGCATTTATTTGTTAAACGGTGTTTTTTCGCCCGCAGATTTTTCCACTTTTCCGTGATAATATCGAATGAAATCACCTCTTTTGTAACAGTTGTTTTTTCAACCAAAAGGTTATTAAGTTTTTATTGTTCATCTTCATTATTGATCTGAAACTTTCTCATTAGAAGTATTATGTGCTTGTTTTTCTTGTTTAACTAGAGAAACATAGTTAAGGCAGCTTGCACTAACATGGGTCTAATTACTTTATGTATGCTGGAAGTATGGAAGTTGAAACCATTTATTGCTGTTTGTGTTGATAATTGATTTGATACTAAATCCGCTGTCATTGCCGTCAAGCCAATTACATGTACATTGCGATGCTTCGGGTGCATAAAAAATATAGTATTCGAATATCGGAGCCATGCATCCCCCGCGCCCGCGCGTCCGTCGCGCCTCGACGCCGCGTCTGGACTGTACGTGATTGGTTTATTAATTAGGCGAATCATCGGCGGGTTCCATTTTTAAAAATAGGCGGGATTCTTGTTGTGCGAGTTTTCTTTTTAATTTCGACCAGCGTTGAATGCAATTAGAGAACGAATATGAGCTTTTTGTTGTAATCACGTCGCAGTGATAAAAGTCCATTGTGGTAATTTTAAGGTCGACTCTTGGATTTTAATCATGTCATGATACAATTAATAAAATGTTATTACTTATAAGTGAATAACCATTTAAATACCGTCGATAATTAAAGGTATGCTATGGCATGTTGGAGTCGCTGTTTTTAGCACTGTTTTATGAAAATGCTAGTAGCTATATACGAATAAAGATTTACAATTAAACGTTTTTTTCTGAACTTTACCAAACTTGAATTAAAAAAGAAGATGTAGGTACATCTTTCAAAAATATGATAACATTAAAAAGAAAACTTGCTAGTAACAATGACAAGTCACATTTGAGCAGAGGACGGATCCGGAATAATTTAAAATATCCATCCACCAACCGAGATCATCTTTAATAGATAAAATAATAGAAGCAGAATCGATCGATTAAAAGAGTCTGAAACCGAATCGACCGGTTAGAGGTCAGAGAAAAAAATAGCATTAATAAAAAAAGCTACGTTCGCGGTCCACAGCGGAGTTATGTCCCTGGCCGAATACCGTTAGGATGCCTTCGGAACTCAAAAC